GTAAGCTTCCTTATTGTTGGGTTTGTTCACCTTCACCCCAATCATGTAGTCTTTTACCCATGAGTTCATTCTTAAATGTTGAATTGTTGAGATCTTGAAAGGTTTTTGAATTTAATTGGTAATGGAGTGTTGCTTTGAGTTCTTGAGGCGAGGGTTTAGGAATGAGTTAAGTAAATCGATAGTTCCTTGCGTGGGCTTCACTAAGATTGTTCTGGGCTATAAGAATTTGTGAGTTTTGACCTTAGATTCGGCAATGGGTATGAGTTGAATCGAGTTTGGGAGAGAAAGAAAAGACCAGGCAAAATTACACGCCCGAGTCCGCATCGCGGAGATGCTTGAAAATCCAGTTCCCAGAAAATTACCTTTCTCTCCGCGTCGTGGAGGGGTTAGGACTCCACTATTTTAAAAATTATTTTGCGACCAAATATTTTAATTCTTCTCTGCGTCACGCTCATGCTCCCTAGTCTGAGTTTTTGCTCGTTTCTTATTATCAACTATCTAAACCCCATCTACTAATTGAGAGACCCTATATCCTAATCATAATTATTGAATTCACATTTAAAATTCAAGATTGAGTTGAGAGTAAAGTTCGAGGGAGTCCTTTTAGTCATTTTGAGAAGTCTTTTACAAACTTTTAAAATGTTTGTTTAAGACTTGAGTACTTGAGTATGAGGATGAAAAGTGTTGAGTTTTATTTTTTAAAATGAATATATGGGAACTAAGTATTCCCAAGAGTAAATTCTTTTTTACATTTAAAATTAGGGGAAACCTTGATTTCCAAATAAATTCATGAGGAGTTTTGAGTACCCTATCTTTTAAGAGAATATTTTTAGTAATAATATTAAAGTTTAGGATGAGGAAATGTTTTTAAACATATGAACATGAGTTATATTATTGGTAGTTGTATTGAGCACCGATATGAGGATGAGTTCAGACAAGTCAAAGTATTCATTAACCATGTATGCCAACATGGGTAAAGGATCATACTTTTTACATGATTCCTTATTGATTTTTTAGCATAGCTTAGTGGATCCACTTTGTTGAGGATGTCTTATACTCCGGCAAAGTATAGGACAGTTCTGGCAGCATATGCGAGACGTTGTATCATCACATAACTCATAGTGATGGTTGTCCGTTAGAGAATCTCCCAAAAAAGAGTAAAGAGTTATTATTGTATTTTTACATACCTTGAGTTATTATCTACTATTTTAAATAACTTTCATTATATTGCATCTATTATTGTTGCTTTATTATGTTATTATCTACTATTTTAAATAACTTTCTTCATATTGCATCTTTTATTGTTGCTTTATTATGAGTTAGGTATTCTTGAACTGAGTGGAGTATTTTTGCGTTTGAGTATCCTAGCTTGAGTATCTTTGAGTTGAGTTGAGTTGAGTTGATATGACGTAAGTATGTTCTTTCTTTCTATCAGATCAAGCCTATGTATGTGATTTAGAGTTCCCCTTGCATGCTCATACATTTCATGTACTGACACCATTTGGCCCGTATAATTCATGATGCAAATACAAGTAACTATGGTCATCAACACGAGCTCCATTGATACCACTTGCAGTCCCAGAGTTTGATTGGTGGCCTAAGTATTGAGCCAGGCCAAGGGTTTGCTTGGGACAAGTAATGTTTCTCGAGTGTCATTCGCATCCAGGGTGTAGGCTCGGGCGTGACACAAGTGAACCCTCATCCCGGCTGACTACAAGTGGAAAACATATTTGAGCAATAATAGGCTTAAAACTGAATTAAATTCATTAAACTCAAATACCCAACTCACAATGACTGGAAAGTACTCAATAACAATATTTAATGTTTGCCAAAAATTGAAAAAGAAAGTAAATATGGAAAGACTCCTCAACTATAACTAACTATGAAGCTCTACTATGAAAGAAGGATATAGGGACAAGACCCACAACATCTCAAAAATACTAAACTGAAAGTAAATGTGAAGGCCTCAAGAATACAAGGAGGCTCACCAAAAGCTAACTAGAGTGTAGACTGATCTCAATGAAGCACCTGTTGATAATCTTGAATACCTGTATGTGCATCATAAAAGGATGCATGTCGAATGACATTAGTACATTTAATGTACGAGTATGCAAGGAGAATTGGAGGCATGGGTAACTGAACAGATAAGACTGGAAAAATAATCACCTCAACACAACTTCAATAAAAAGGCAACAATAAGAGATGCAATAGTTAAATCTTTATAAATAACATATGTCAACTCAAGAATGTATATAAGAATACAATAAAATACTATTTACTCTTATTTGGGAGATTCTCTAACTAACAACCATAACTTAGCTATGTGATGATACAATATCTAACCACGCTACCAGAATTGTCTTCACCATGCAGGAGTATAGAACACCTCAACTAAGTGGATCCACTAAGCTATGCATCAAGGCCCTAAGGATTCATCTAAAAAGCATTATTTTTTACCCATGTTGGATACATGGTTTACGAGGAATGTGAGTTTTTTAAACTCATTCCCATATCAGTGCTTAATACTACTTCAAATAATTTATACTCAAGCTCAAACGTATTAAAATAAACTCTTTCTGTGGTTTGAGATAATTGCTCAAACTATCCTCTTAAAAGAGGTAACTGCTCTGAAATATCTTTGAACTAATAAACTCCTTTTAGAAATCAAAATTTCTCTTTTCTCAGTGTAAAAATGATACATTAGGGAATACTTAGCTCCCTTAAACTTTACTAAAAATGTCTCTTTAAACTTTCCTCAAAAACATAGTTTAAAACACAAGTTTTGGCTTTAATGGATTCTCAAGATTTTTAACTCAACATAGAGTTCATGTTGAAATATAGACATGAACAAATCAACTCAACGATCCCAATGACAATATAGAAACTCCATACAGGATGACGAACGAAGAACAAAAGTGTCGCACCCGAGGCTACCACCTTCACGTAACACAGGACCTAGGATCACGAGTGACCCCAAGCTTACCCTGTGTCTGGCATATCATAAGCATACTCAAACTATTAAAAAAGACAAATACTATACGGAAGCTAAATAATAGATAACCGAGAAAATGGGGATTACCCATGTAATTTGAATGTATAAAACATACAAATAGATTAACAATAACTGAAAGATAAGCTCATTAATAAAAGCTGATTCTTTTACTATATCTGAAAAAGCCTCTAACTGAGTTGAGTTGCTGGGACATGCCCCCCATCTAACTATAATAAAATAGAAAACATAAAGTAAAGACTAAAATGAAAGCATGTTTGTTGTCCTTAGAATATAAGGACTCATCACTGAAGCTGTTGAATGCGGACCGAGAATCGATCTAAGCATAATCTGGATGTTGAGTACCTGAACCTACATCATGAAAAAATGTAGCGCAGAGTATGTGTTAGTACTTGAAATGTACTGACCATGCATGATATAAATACTAAACTGAACAAATATATATAAGCTGAACAAAGCATAACTGAGCAATGACATAAACTGAGCAGGAATATAAATATTGAAACTTAACTTCAATGCTAAATTGAATGCAATGACCAAGTGTTAATCATGAACCTTACATGCTAAATTGAATACTAAAGTATGTACTGAAGAACCGGTCCATGCACTAGGAGTCTGACTGTGGGAGCTACTATCAATCGACATGAAACCACGTGAGCCAAACATGGAGTCTGATGTATACGCCCCATCGATAGGACCCAATATACCTTGCCAGAGGTATAATGGCATGACTCGCGTGATCACTAATTCTGATGCCCAACAGAGGGGACTTATACTCCTATGAGGGAACGTAGTTCTAGGACAATGAGAGTACACTGAACCCTAGTCCATCTCGATACTAAGTCTACTCCCAACTGAATATGTATATGATACAAATGTAACTGTCATACTGAATACCTTGAAATACTGACATGCAATCTGATAATGTGACATTTGAAAACTGAAGCATGATTATCTATTTAACTGACCTAACAAGTGCAATTCCTGAACTAGGAGAATCTACACAAACTAGGGTTCTAAGTTTCATACACGGAATTAAAGAATGTTTCCAAGAAAACATGATATTTATATTATACATACTATAGTAACTCAAATCATAACAATTATCCAAGGTTTTAGAAACCCTAGGCCTAAACAATATTTAGAGAATTAAGGAATTGACTAAATTCTAGGGACCTAGTGGATCAAAGGAACCTACTAGTAAAATCCCACATACCTGGTGATGAAATCTACAGAGAAATCCTTTGGATTACGGGGATGAAATTTGAAGCAAACCTTCTGCTAGTTCTTGAGCAGCTGCTAGACTCTTTCTCCTTTTTTTTTGCTCTAAGTTTTGGTGATTTTGGAGAAAAAAGGTTTTGGTTAGGTTCTGACTAGATTATTAGGATTAAACTGAGTAAAACGACGTAGTTTAGGTATTAAACGGTGTAGTTTAGGTGCCCAATACATAGGGGAAATGACAAAAATTACCTTAACTTAATAGTTGACGAGACCATCGACGGACCCTGACCGAGGGTCTGTCCTGGCAGGGTGTCAGTTTGCGTTTGAGACTTGGTGATGGGGGTCACGATCCACAGTCCCTGGACTATGAACTGTGGTCCCACCTACGGTCCGTAGGTCCTGCAGTGGGTCATAATTTTTCTTGGGGTTTTGGGTGGCCAATCATGGACCATACCTATTGTTCGTGGCCCAAACCATGTGGCACCTGTAGGTTTTGAAAAAAAATCTACATTTTTGTCTTTCTCGAATACGCGGTGTTACATTATCCCCCTTGGAAACATTCATCCTCGAATAAAGTCTAAACTTGTTGAGTATAGAGGGAAGGAGCTGCAATCCCTACCACTAAGTGCTAGAAATTAAACTTATATCTAACTGAACTGAGTTCCAAGAACGTGCAAATATGCTGAAATGAAAGAACAACTAAAGGAACAACATACTGAGACTGAATTTACGCAAGAGTAAACCAAGAGACTGGAGAGGAACTATTACCTCAAGCTGAAACAAAATCGGATGGAAAGAGATGAGGATACTTGGCCTTCATGACTGCTTCTTCTTCCCAAGTATCTCCCTCTACAGACTGACTCCTCCACAAAACATTCACTGAAACTACTTCTTTATTTCTCAACCTACAAACTTGATGGTCAAGGATCTCGACTGGAACCTCTTCATAAGTGAGACTATCCTTCACAATTACACTCTTTAATGGTACTATCGATGCCAGATCAACCACATACTTCTTCAACAAGGAAATGTGAAAAATAGGATTGATCGCTGCTAGTTGTGCTGGCAACTCTAACGTATAAGCCACATTAACAATCCTTTTCAGGATTCTATAAGGACCTACATATCTAGGATTGAGCTTCCCTTTATTCCCAAATCTCAGTATTCCCTTCATTGGTGACACCTTCAAGAAAACCCAATCATCAATTGCAAACTCCAAGTCCCTTCTCCTCACATTGGCAAAGGACTTATGAGGACTCTAAGTTTTCTTTAGTCTATCTCTGATAAGGTGAACTTTTTCCATAGCTTCATGACCTGAATCTGGCACTATTATGGTTGCTTCACCTACATCAAACCAACCAATCGGGGACCTGCATCTACACTCATACAATGCCTCATATGGGGCCATCTAAATAATGGAATAGAAAATATTATTATAAGCGAACTGTATGAGAGATAAGTGATCATCCCAATTACCCTTGAAATCGATCACGCAAGCTCTTAACATAGCCCGAAAGGTCTGAGTGGTACGTTCTGCTTGACCATTTTTCTATGGATGAAATATTGTACTGAGATTTACTTGAGCACCAAGACCTTTCTCAAATGATTTCCAGAAATGAGAGGTAACTAGAGGACCTCCATCTGAGATGATAGACAAAGGAACCCCATGTAGCCTGACTATCTCATGGATGTAGAGTTTTGCATAGTCCTCCGCTGAATATGTAGTCTTGACAACCAAGAAGTGAGCGGACTTAGTAACTCTTTCCACTGTCACCCAAATGGAGTCATGTTGTCTGTGAGTACGAGTTAAGCCCGTAATTAAGTCCATGTTTATCACTTTCCACTTCCATGTAGGAATGTTAATCTCTTGAGTCATACCTCATGATTTCTGATGTTCTACCTTAAACTATTGACAGTTAGAACACATAGCCCCAAAATCTGCTATGTCCCTCTTCATGTCGTTCAACCAAAAGACTTCTCGTAGATCAGGATACATCTTAGTGTCACCTGGATTAATGGAATACCTAGAGTTATTACCTTTCATAAGGATCTGCTGCCTCAAGTCACCGAAATTAGGAACACATAAGCGACCCTGGTAACAAAGTACACCATCTCCCCCTTGGGAAAAAACCTAATTTTTTTGTTGATGGACTGCACTTTTCAAGTGAAGTAATATAGGATCACTATCTTGTTTTTCCTGAACCTCCGCTACAAATAAAGATTTTGATCTATTCTTAACTAGCACACCACCATCTGAAATGTTCAGAAGGCTATCTCCTAAGAGAGCAAGCCAGTGAACATCTTTTGCTAACTCTTTCCTTCTTCCTTAACATGTGCTACACTACCCATAGACTGCTGAGAGCACCAGCCACTACATTGGCCTTACCAGGATGGTAAAGCACATTCATGTCATAGAATTTGAGGAATTCAAGCCATCTCCTCTAACAAAGATTAAACTTCTTCTTGGTGAACACATACTGGAAGCGTTTATGATATTTGAATACATCAACATGAATACCATACAAGTAATGTCTCCAAATAATTAGGGAAAATACTACGGCTGCAAGCTCGAGGTCATGAGTCGGGTAGTTCTTCTCATGGACTTTAAGTTTTCTATAAGCATAAGCTATGACCTTACCTCACTGTATCAACACATAACCTAGGCCGACCCTAGATGCATCACAATAAATAACATACCCACTTGAACCATCTCGTAGGGTCAAAACTGGAGTTGTAGTCAACCTAATCTTCAGTTCTGAGAATCTTTTCTCACACTCATCTCACTATTGAAATTTGACCTTTTACTGAGTCAACATAGTCAATGGGGAAGCCATTGATGAAAATCCTTTAACAAATCTACTTTAATGACTGGCCAAACCCAAGAAACTTCTCATATCTATTGGGGAGGTGGGTTTGGGTCAATGTTGTATTGCCTCAATTTTCTGAGAATCCACTCAGATCCCTTCGATGTATACCACATGAAAAAGGAAGGCAACTGACTGTAACCAGAATGCACATTTATTGAACTTAGCGAATAACTAGCAATCTTTGAGAGTTTGCAGAACAACTCTTAGATGATTCGCCTTCTCCTCATTATTCTGAGAATAAATGAGGATATCATTAATAAAGACGATAACGAACAAGTCCAAATACTATTTGAACACCATGTTCATTAGGTCCATGAAATTTGCATGAGCATTTGTTAATCAAAAAGACATTACTACAAATTCATAATGACAATACTGAGTCCTGAAGGCCATCTTCGGAATGTTAGTATCTCTGACTCTGCGCTGATGATACCCGGATCTGAGTAACTAGCACCCTGAAGTTGGTCGAACAAGTCATCAATCCTAGGTATGGGATACTTATTCTTGATTGTGACTTTATTCAACTGCCGATAGTCAATGCACATTCTCAGAGAACAATCTTTCTTTTTCACGAACAACACTTGAGAACCCCATGGAGAGATACTAGGTTTAATGAATCCCTTATGTAGAAGGTCTTTCAACTGCTCTTTCAATTCCTTAAGCTCGGCTGGAGGCATTTTGTAGGGAGGTATTAAAATGGGTTGCGTATTTGGAAGGAGATCTATGCAAAATTTAATTTCCCTTTCAGGAGGAACTCCGAGAAGATCTTCTTGGAACACTTGTGGAAACTTATTACTACTGGGACTAATTCAAGAGTTGGGGTTTCGTTTTGAATACTTAACCTAAACAAAATGATATATATACCCTTTAGAAATCAGTTTCCTAGCAATAAGGTAAGAGATAAATTGACCTACAGGCACTGAGCTACTACCTTTCGACTGCGTGAACCAGATACGAGCCACATCCTTGAGTTATTAGTATCAATATCACAATGTGGGATGTCAATAAGAAAAAAGAGAAACTAAAGATGAATTAACAATAAAAATTTAAAATTGAATACATGTAGTAATATTTTCTTTGGATGTGGGGGAGACAGTTCTGACAACCATCATTAATTGGGTAAGAATGGATTACAAGAAAAGAGGGGCATATTATTATATCATATTTTGTGGTATAAAGGTGAAAGAGATTATAACAATTTGGCAAATTTATTTGCTGCTACGCATCGTTACTTTTATCAATTGTTAGGTTTTAAATTTTTTTTTTTTTTTAATTTTGTGTCCAATGTGGGCTTCTATTTTTAAAATGATAAAGGGGTGATTGGATGTAAATATGGGGTAAGTTTTTCGTAAGGTTACTAACTATGTATTGGTTTCAATTTTGATACTTTTCTTATATTTATCAAGTTACAATTCAAGTTTTGAGATATTGAGATATGTAATTAAATATTGGGTGCATTACATTATATGAAAACTATTAGGGTTGTAGTGTTTGGAGAAGTTATGACTTAACCCTAGACTTTGTTAAAGATTGAGTGAGTTTTTAGGTCAACGCTAGACACATAGGAATATGAGTGTTGTTAGTTTTGAAATTTTATTGTGATTATTTATTTGAATAGATTGTATTGATTTGGAAGCCCAATGAAAGAGGAAATTTGAAGTCTCGGAGAGATGTTGAATTATTTGAGGCAAGTGGATTTTTAAACCGTTGTTAAGTTTGTAGAATCGTGTATTTCCTTGTGGTAAGTATTGGGGAGTAATGGGACTTTGTGATGCGCTGAATTTTCAATATTGAATAATTCTAATGATGAAAAAGGGATAATAAAAAGCAATCTAATTAATTATTGGTGTAGGATGTGTTGAGATTGGTTTGAAAGGTTTATTAATTAATTTTTGATGTTGTATCACAATTGTGTTGTTGTGAATTGTGTATAAAAGGCAATGTGATTAATTATTAGTGTGTGATGTGCTGAGAATGGTTTTGAAAGGATTATTGTTTCATTTTTAGGGTATATCACGATTGTGTTGTTTTGAATTGTGTATTGTTATGAAAATGGTCATCTCCTCATTATTTGTGTGAACATGTCACCGTGATAGATTCTATTATCGAGAGACAACATACGTCTATCAATAGGTCAGATATGTATCACTATAATTGACATTGCATTTTGTTGCATCACACATCTTTATTCTTTGTGAACTTGATCTTGTGTGTTACTGATTTTGTGAGTGCCTTTCTGTGAAACTTGTGATTAATGAATATTGAGCTTGTTGTTAAGGATATGTAATTTTAAGAGTTTTATTGTTTAACTACGTGCAATGCAAATTGTTAGGTTGGGCTTGTTTTATGCAGGTTGTATTTGTGGAGGTTTGGTTGGGGTGTAAGGAGTACCCGTATTTTATTCCCTTAGCTTGAGTTTAGAAATATACTTGTTGAGTACCGTGTGGTTTTGTACTCACCCCTTGCTACTACATTTTTGTAGTTTACTAGCTCGGATCTTCAAGGTACTCTCTATTCTCTCCTTATCCGAGGGTTCCTGTGCAGATTTGTGAGTTAGCTGCTGATCATCTCAACAGACCTTCTTACTCCTATTTATGATCTTATTCTATTCTAGAAACAATGTCATCTGAGACTTGTATATTTTTTTCGATTTAATTGTAATATTTTAGAGGCTTATACATGTGACAACCAGGTTTTATGGATTTTATTAAGTTGACTTAGTTATCCGAACATATTATATTTGAGATTTTAGTTGTTCTTACTTTGGCATAGATTGTGATATTTAGGTTTTAGGCTGACTTGTCTTGGTGAGATAAGACGAGTGTTATCACGTCCATTTTTTGAGTCGTGACAAAATGGTATTAGAGCCCAGGTTCATAGGTGTAACGTTTATACAAGCCGAGTCTAAGTAGAGTCTCGAGGATCCGTACAGAGAAGTCTGTACTTATCTCCGAGAGGTTACTGTGACTTCTAGGAAAAAAATTCACTTATGGAATCTCTATCATATGTCCTTGGTCCGATCTGATTCCCCAGTGCTTCATTCCATTATCTCACTTAAATTGATCAATCGTGCATGGTTCTTCATCCGAGTAGTTGGTGTCATGTATGGCTTGGAAGTTAGATTTCGTTTAGAAGGTATAGACTTATGGAAAGGATACGTGGTTAGATTAAGAATGTTTAACAATTTGAAATGTTTGAGTAAGGTGATGACTTCATGAAGCATTTTAAGGATATTCAAATCATGAGGTTGAACAATTATTTGAGGGATTTCATGAATGTGTTATCTTTTTCAGGTTAGTTTCACAAATAGAGGAATATTACTTATGTGGTATAGGCAATTTCTTGAGTGGTTTGACAATTGAAAGTGGAATGACTAAATGGGTGGCTAAATAATGATCATTGTCACTATGGAAAATATTGTAAGTAAAGTTTTCTTAACATGTAGATGAATTTCTTAGCGAATGATAGGAATGATGTTGGGCCAATTGAGGTCGGAATCTCTACTATGATTTTATTTATTAAGTGTATATGAAAGAAAGTCATGATACGGCTACTATAATGGTACTGATTCTTACTTGGTTATATTTATCGATTGTGTTGGTTTTGCTTTCGACCTGATCTATGAAGTACTGCATATCGCTAAGGATGAAAGATCGAACAAATTTGATAGTGTATTGTTGTTAGTTAATGGGCAAAAATGTGTGGGCTATTTGGGGTTAATAATTTTAGTGATGGATTGTTGATACGATATTAATGTGTTAAGTTGAGAAGTGTTTCATGAGGGTTCTAAATGAGGACCGATGATTTCATTTGAAGGTCCAATGGAATAAATAGATACCAGAATAACAAGCTTCTGGGTAAGGGAAGTCCCAAAAAGTATACTTGTGTAAATGTAATTGAAAATTTTAGTAAAAAAATAATTAATATAAAAGTGGGTTAGTGCTTTGAATATTATTAGTAT